CAGCTTCCCGAGTGCTGGATTACAGGTATGCACCACCATTGACCCTGATCTGCTTTGTGCTATCGTTTTAGAGACACAAAGAATCAGGGTGTGCACGTGTCTCAGCTCTTAGCTGCCCTGGTGGCTGAACTGGGATCCCTGCAGTCCAAGAATTTGAGACACAGTCTAGCATCATATCAACACCCCATTTCAAAAATATGCCGATAATAAAATTGTGAAGGGATTGTGTTTGAATTTTGTCTTTTTTTCTGATAGCAGAAATAACCATATAAGCTAACTAAATTTCCATGAGGAATATTTAAGTCATGGTTATAATATGTCTAACTCTGGCCTCTACCAGAGTTGTGAAGAATAATTGGAAATGCCACTGTTATGAACATGTGGGGTTGGGATATAGCTCAGTGGTGGAGCGCTTGGCTAGCATGTGTGAGACCCTGGTGTGGGTTCAATCCCCAGCACCACAAAAAAATGAGAATTGTAACTGAAAAAATGTAAAGAATATTAGAAATACCGCATTTAAAAGATACAGTGTTGGGTATGTGCTTCCACTGATGCAGTGTTTGCCTACCACCATACGGGAAGCCCGGGGTTCAACCCACTACATCACATAACCCAGATGTGCTGGTGCATGCATGTAATCCCTCAGGAGACAGACAGGGAGATCAGAAGTTCAAGCTCATCCTTGGGTACATAGTGAGTTTAAGGCCAGCCTGAGCTACATGAGACCCTATCCCAAAGACAAAAACAAAAGATACTGTGACTGTTTCCTGCTATCATGTAATAGCCCTCCCTCATCTTATATAATAGAGGTTTGTGGAAAGAAGACATAATTGGCCTAGAAGAAATGTTTTACATGGGTTTTTTTTGTTGTCATCGTTACAAATTTGATGAATAAGAGGATACAGTTGACTGTTCCTTATAAATTGAGTGATTCTGCTCTTCTTGTACTTGCCTCTGCATTTAGCTGTGGTTTTCAGGAAACTTGTGCGACACCACCCTGACTTGTAAGGTTGAACTGGGCAGTACTCCCACTGTGTGTCTGTAGCTCCAGGTCAACTCCCATGGTCAGTGTTCTGTCTGTTTTTCTCTGTTTAAGAGCAACATTCTTCAGCACGAAGAAAGGCATGCTCTGGCTAAAATCTGTGGAAAGCAGATTTTCTCGCATAAAATAGTGTTACTTTGGGGGAAATTTTAAATTTAGCTTTTATCTGAAGTGCCTTAAGTAGATTCTTAATTTACTTTTCTAGTACTGGTTTAAATATAATTCATTACATATTTTTAATATACTGTTCAAAAGTGATACATTATTATGGCAAAGATAAGCAAATGTCTGGCGTACTGCTTCCTATCAATAAACTTTTACAATCTAAATTACAGGTGTTTGATTCTCTGTTGTAGTCATTTCTGTTACTGTTAGACAATACTCTGACTAGGGCGCCTAAGGGAGAAAGGGTTCATTTTGGCTCCCACTTCCAGGGGAGTATATTATTGAGAAGACATGGCAACTGGAGCATGAAGCCCACAGGCAGTCTGGAAGCAGGAGGAGAGCCAGGCTATATAACCCCTAATGATGACCTCTAGCAAGACTACCTTTTAAAGCTTCCACAGCCTCAGGGTGGTGGTGGCGGCGCACGTCTTTAATCCCAGCACTTGGGAGGCAGAGGAAGGCACGTCTCTGTGAGTTCGAGGCCACCCTGGGCTACAGAGTGAGTTCCAGGACAGGCTCCAAAGCTACACAGAGAAACCCTGTCTCAAAATACCAAAAAAAAGCTTCCACAGCCTCATACTACCACTGGCTAGAGACCAAATAAATGAGCCTGTGAAGGCATTTCCCACTCAAACCATGGCACCTCTCTATAGAGGGGTCAATTTGAAATAGCAAAAGGGGATTCTTAAACTGGTGGTGGTGGCGGTGGCGGCGGCGGCAGTGGCGGCGGCGGTGGCGCACGCCTTTAATCCCAGCACTTGGGAGGTAGAGGCAGGTGGATCTCTGTGAGTCTGAGGCCAGCCTGGACTACAAAGTGAGTTCCAGGACAGCCAGGGCTACACAGAGAAACCCTGTCTCAAAAGGGTGTGTGTGTGGGGGGGGATTCTTAATTAGAATATTCCATCTTAAATATATAATTAAGTTTGCCTAAAATTCTTAACTGTCCTAGAACAGTGCGTTTCACAGAACAGTTTCTTTAATTACCTCTAGATTAAGATACTCTCTTCTGCTAGGTGTGATGACACATGCCTTTAATCCCAGCACTGGAAGATGGAGGCAGGCAGATCTCTGTGAGTTGGTCTACATAAGAGTTCAGGCTAACCAAGTCTCAACCCCTGCCTAAAAAAAAAAGAGATATACATCTCCTAGAACTCAGCACAGAGGCACAGGCCTGTAATCAAAGCGTTGGGAGATTGGGGCAGAGGATAAATTCACAACATCTCATAAAAGTGCACATTTTTGTAGTCATGGTAGCACATACCTTTAATCCCAGGACTCAAGAGACAGAGGCAGGTGGATATCTGAGTTTAAGGCCATCCTGGTCTACAGAGTGAGTTCCAGGAGAGCCAGGGCTACATAGTGAAGTACTGTGTCAAAAGAGAAGGTACTAATTTAAGATAGCATTGAAAGCCAAAGCCAGAAAGACATTAGGTATGCTTAAATTAGTGCCTTCATTTGCTCTGCAGAAGAAAACCTGCCCTAGAAAAATGAAGCAATTTACTGAAGGTTATGCCAAGGAAATGCTTAGAGATTTCCCATTTTGCTGAATATACCCTATGGATTATATTTCACTTGCAGATGCAAATTGCTCTCTGGAGACCATAGTCCACCTTGATTGCTTCCCTGACATCCAGATTTCTGGAAGAAGTCCTAATGAAAAAGGCATTTCTCTAGAGAGCCTGGATCATGCAGGTGCCCTAAAGGAGGGAGTTTTGATTGACACTCTTTTGTCTGTAAAAGTAGAATGTAGGTGACGAGACAGACTTTTGCCAGAAAAGGAAGCCAGAGAAGTAATAACCTAGAGATGCTTCTGAACGTTGTGCAGAAGTGTCCCTTAAACCTGGCGTTCTCTTTTTGCTTCATGAAACTGAAGAGGTAAAATGCCAGTGTACATTAGCATAACCCCTGTAATCCTAGCACTTGGAAGGCTGAGAGAAGCTGGAGAGTGAGGAGTTCAAGGTTAGCCTCTGCTGCACAGTTTGCTCCCAGCTGTCTGTAACTCCATTTCCACAGGATCCAGGGTCCTTCTGTGGCCAAAACAAAAACAAATCTTAGAAATGGTAAGATATTTGAGAGAAATTAAATACCAAGGAAATAAAATTGCCAATCAATAAGTGGGCAAATAACTGAATCGACAGTTTAAAAAAAAAAAGCACAAATGGCCAATAACTATTTTTAAAGGTGTTCAATTCAGGGCTAGAGAGACAATTCATAAAGAAAAGCATTTGGGTTTAGAGAGATGGCTCAGTGGTTAAGAGCACTGGCTGCTCTTCCAGAGGACCCAGGTTCAATTCCCAGCACCCACATGGCAGTTCACATTTGTCTGTAACTCCAGTTCCAAGGGATCCAACTCCCTCACACAGACATACAAGCAGGCAAAATACCAATGTACATAAAATAAAAATAATTTTAAAAATGTATTCAATATTTCTAGCCATCAGTGAAATGCAAATTAAAACTACTTTGATAAAGTACCTCACCCTAGTCAAAATGACTGTCATCAATAAATCTAACTAAATGTTGGAGAAGATGTGGAGAACCTTATTCACTGTTGGTGGGTGCTAATATGGAAATCAGTTTCAAGAGGGCTGGAGAGATGGCACAGGCTGATCTTGCAGAGGTTCCTGAGTTCTATTCCCAGCACCACATGGTGGCTCACAACCATCTGTAATGAGATCTGGTGCCTTCTGGCATGCAGGCAGAACATTATACATAATAAATAAATCTTTTTAAAAAATTAAAAAATACCCTAGCGTGGTGGTACACACATTCAATCCCAGTATTCAGGAGGCAGAGGCAAATGGATCTCTGAATTTAAGGCCAGCCTGATCTACAAATCAATTTCCAGCTCAGCTAGAGTACACAGTTTGACATTGTGTCAAAAAAATAAAAAAATAAAAAACAACTACTAAGCCAGGCAGTGAAAGCACACAATTTTAATCCCAGAACTCAAGAGGCAGAGGCAGGCAGATATCCATGAGTTTGAGGCCAGCCTGGTCTACAGAGTGAGTTCCAGGAGAGCCAAGGCTACACAGTGAAACCCTGTCTCAAAAAAAGGTAAGTAAATAAATGAAAATAGAACTACGATATGACGGAGCTATTTTGCTTCTGAGCATATACCCAGAGAACTCTGTACTCTACCATAGAAACATTTGTACCCCCGTGTTTGTTGCTGCTTTATTCATTACAGCAAATAATTGAAATCAATCTAGTTGTCCATCAATAGATGAATGGATGTGTGTGTGTGTGTGTGTGTGTGTGTGTGTGTGTGTGTGTGTGTGTATAATACTTAGCTGTAAAGAAAAATGAAGTTGAAAATTTGCAGGAAAATGGATGGATTTTAAATCTATAATGTTAAACAAGGTCACACAATCTCAATATGAAAAAAAACCACATGTTCTCTCTCATAGGTAGAATCGAGCCAATATTACATGTCCATGTGTAAACAAATGTGCATGTGAGTACCATCACTGCCAGGAGACCAACTTCCAGCAGCGCAGGGCTCAAAAGGAATCCACGGAGTTGTCATGAACTAAGACTTTTCTATCTGAGAGGGTCAAGGAAAAAGACACTCACACTCTCTCTCTTGATAGTTTCTTTCAGATCTTTTCTTTATTCTTTTGCATTCTCTATTCTTTATTCACCTGATGATTACCTTCTCTCATTCTTGATGTTTCCCTTCTAGTTCCTTCTAATTCTCTCATTCCTGATGTTTTCCTTTCAACTCATTTTAACTCTCATTCTTGATGTTTTCCTTTGTAGCCCATTTTAATTCTCTTTACTTCTATCTCTATTCTTTCCCTTACAGCTTTTTACCCAGCAAAATCTTTCAGGCAAAACAAAAATTACAATATGGTTTCATTTTGTTTCTCAAACGAATATTACAATGAATACAAATAAAAGGTACAGGGCCTGAGGGTTAGTACCAGAAGCAAGGCTATTTATGGGCCTATTAGGGTGGAAATTAAAGTAGTTAGTAATAGCCATTTTATCTCTATGTCACGGATTTTTCTTTTGACCCAGCATTTCAGCCTTATCTGAAGAGGGAACATGGGACAACATATTCTCTGTAACTGCTTCGAGCTGGCATTGGGGTGCCATTTTCAGGGCCCCCAAAATGCTGAAAGGCTAGTCAAAGACTGGGCAATGGGGCATTTGTCAGAAGCATGTGGCTGTCTGACCCCGTAGAGACAAGAAAGAATCATGTTGGCTGGGCTGGTCCATGTCAGCTATTAGCAAGTCTGGAGCTCACAGTCATCTGAAGCAGTATAGTCAGCAACTGAAGCTTGGAGGTGACTGCCAGCCAAGTGGAAATCTGTTGAGACAAACTTAAACTAGGAAAAGAAGTTAAAATTTATGAACTTATTTGGTACCCTTAGGTCCATACCCTTAGTAATGGGGAAAAGCAGGAGTCCCAAGACCAGGAGAGAGGAAAAATACCATCCTTAGGAATACTTATCTGGGGTCCTTCCCACCTCTGTGAAGTAGATCTAGATTTTATGACTCTTTTAATCCTCTGAGGACTACTTACAAAATGACATAAAAACTTTAGATACATTAGTATTACCAATCTGTACTGAAATTCATATTGTAGACAAAGCAGGTAATGGATGTCTGTAAAGCAGTGAAGTAGACTCATACCTTTGAGTCTGAACAAGAAATACAGATTTGGGTTAAAAGCTTGTATTTTTTTTTCTATCCACAGAGCTAGGTATAAATTGGATAGAGATTTTTGACCTGATGAGAAGCACTTCCAGGTTTATATTTAGATATATTTAGATGATATCTAAAATAAATCTAAAATGTTGAGCTTTATCAGCTTATCAGAACTCTATTAAATGTTAAGCTCTAAACTGTTATTTCATAAAACAGGAGAGCAATCTGAAACATTTATCTTAAATTATTTTTTGAGATCCTTAAAGCTTAGAAGCTTTTTTATCCTCAGACCTTTTTTAGACTGATATCTGAACCTTTATGACTTATTTAAACATTTATATCTTAGAACATTTTTAAAAAATGAACTAACAAACTGGCTATAGCCTTGCAGAAGGATCTGGTTGTCTGATGCTGCCAAGCTGACAAAGTTATAGCTAACATAGCTGTCAGTACTACCAGAGATTTGAGAAGGATAAATTATATCTGAGTGCAGACCAAGCAGCTTTCAATTCTATAAATGGCAGGGACCAGTCCATACCCAGGTTTCCATAGCATTGGAGGTACCAGTCAGAACAGCATCAATCTTCTTCTGCCATCAGGCCCATAAGGCAGAGTATTTTTCCTGTGAAATAGGGACATGGAGGACTGATCTTGATTTGTCCAGGCCAAAGGCTGTAATCACTTCCAGTGTCCTGCTGCTTGTCTGTAGTCTGGGCTGGGTTCTGGTGGCAGGCATTGCATTGGGGCATCTTGCTCTGTGGTCAGCGTTGCCGTAATTCAGGCAGAGACATTGTGGTGCCTTGTACGTAATCTTTGGAGACCTTGGGTCATTGCTAGGATCTGGAAGTCTGTCTGATATAATAAGCTTTTAGATCAACATTTAAATACCATATTCTGCAAATCTCTGAAGTATGAGGGCTGTCCAGGTATATACAAATAGACAAAATTTGTTTCTAGTTACTTGTTTTAAGCTCAAACCTGAAAACACATGCAAGGGACTGAGTAAAGTTATCCCTGTAATATTACATCAGTACTTATTTATCTGACTATAATTAAAAAACTTGATTATTGGGTGGGCTGGGGGGAATGGGGGGGGTGGGAGGGGGAGAACAAGGGAATCCGTGGCTGATATGTAGAATTAAATTATATTATAAAATAAAATTAAATTAAATTAAAAAAACTTGATTATTTATGACTGACTATTTACTTATGTTCCCTAACAGTCTACAATAAGTAGCCTCAAAAACAATGATTTTAAAATGAAGCTCTTTTAGCATCAAATATAGGTTCAGTAAAGAAACCAAAATAAATCATCAATATAAAATATATATATATGAATCAATTTATCCAAATAGCTTAAGCCTAACAAACATAGCAAATACAAGGAGGCTAGATAACATTCTTTGTACCTTGGGCAAGGAGAAACATTCTCCAAGTCACTGGTTTTTAACTTTTTTTAATGCTATTTTATAACTGCAGTTTTGTCATTGTTGAATCTCAATGCAAACATCTGACATATAGGTAGTCCTAGGCCACCCCTGTAAAAAGATTTTTTCCATTCCCAAATGGTGAAAACTCATGGAATCAGAAGCTATTTCAAACCCTTTGTCAGACTGCTTAGGTCATTGTCTTGCTGCATCACAAGAAATGAACATCCAAGTTTCTGGTTAGCATTTGGAGCTTATGGTTGTGACCCTAATTTTTAGCCTTTTATTTTAAGTCCAAACATTAACAATATAGAGCATTTTATGAGCTAAAAATGTCTCATAGCCTTATAAACTTAAATATTATAAAAACTGTTCTTAAAAAGATTAAGATCTCTCGGGGCTGGAGAGATGGCTCAGAGGTTAAGAGCACTGCTTGCTCTTCCAAAGGTCCTGAGTTCAATTCCCAGCAACCACATGGTGGCTCACAACCATCTGTAATGAGATCTGGTGCCCTCTACTGGCCTGCAGAGTTACATGCCAACAGAACACACTGTATACATAATAAATAAATAAATCTTTAAAAAAAAATTAAGATCTCTCAAATGTCTTTCTGCAATATCAAAAATAAAATATCTTCTTTTACTTTAAGGGGTAGAAAACATGGCATCACCAGAATCTGCATAAAGTAAAACCAAGCTCCAAAGTGCAAACAATCCCAAAGTTTAATATCTGGGATTCATTTGTAATTCCTTTGGTGTTTTTACTTAGAGGCTTGGATGATTTCTTTGACCCTACCCTTGCCAGCACATACATAGCCTGCCTGCTCCATTTTATTATGGCTGGTGCTTCCAGTGATCATCACCTGGCACTTCCAAAATTGCTAAGGTCCACCATTGTAACTAGACTCTCTTTGGAACTCTAGTCTTTCCATACGTTTGCAACCCTCAGCTGTTCCCTATGATCCTTTCATGTCTTTAAAACCATTATCATTTTATTACATGGGTAAATCTTAAATTACAAAGTTTAGCTGCCAGAGCAAGGTATATTCCTGTGTATAAAAGCATTGACATTTAGCTTTAATATTTATCAAATATCTTATTTATTAAACATGTTGTCATCTATTTAAATTTTTTAAAAGCTTGGTGTTGAACACTTGGTAAAGACATAAGTACTTAGGTGTAAATCTCTTCAGTTAGCTTTTGTTAACTTGAATGGATCTTTATAACCTTAGTAAAAGATGGTTGTTAGCCACATGGCTGCCCATGAGGTCACCAGCCAAGATGGAGAAAGCCACATGGTTGCTATTTAAAGCATGTTTTTTTAAACAATAATTACTTGCACACATACTTACAGTTGGATCCAAGTTACACACACATAAGTACAGTTAAAGTTTGCTTATATTTACATATATAGTTAAATCCAAGTTACGTACCTGTCCACATAAATACATACATAAACAGTTTGCACAATCATTAGCCACTTTTAAAATGAAAACCAACCAGAATTAACTTTTAAAATCAGTATTTTCAGGTATAAGGAACCATAACAAACATAGTTCACATCCCCTCTGACTTTCCACAACTTTTCATGTAACCTCAAGCCATTCCTTTGATCCCTCAGACATTTACTCCAGACAAATTCTTTTTTTTTTAACATAGAAACTCTTACCAAAGTCTTTCTTATGATTTCCCTTGGTAATCTAGAATGTATTGTAAAGCTACAATATTTTAAATAAGAACAGAAATACATGCATATACCATAACAAGAATAACTAAATTTGTATCAGCCCTATACCACAGACAAGAAACTGTTGGTTAGCCTTATAACATAGCCACAGTAGCTTAGCAACCATAGGCAGTGACATTTCATTTCATTCTGGGAGCCAGACCTTGATCAGGTTTTAGCACCAGGGCAGGTCTTGGGAGCCCCACCCAACAGCATGGGAGAGGAAGAGGACCGGGAAGGCACACACCATGGGGAAAGAAGATCACTGTTAACCTCAGATTTTCAAGTTCACCAGAGTGGTGGGTTGGAAGGGACTCCCTGTCCCCGGCTGGACCCACAGACCTGTAGGCCACTCCTTAGCTGTGACCCTGGAGTGACAGTTAGTTCTCCATTAGCCCTGCCCGGTTCAGGCACACTCTGAGCTCCTTGAGTCCTATGCTGGCTCCTGCCAGCTCTGCCCCACGACTCTCCACAAGGGAGCCCAGCCAGAACCTGCTGGCCATGTCCAGGCCCCAAGGTGCTCACAGCCATCCTAGCACCCTCTCAGTGGCGTCCTGAGCTGGGCAGCTGCTGCCTGCCAGACTCGTTGCTGCGAGTTCCTGCCAGCTGCCCGAACACTGGTCAGAGAGCAAGAAAGCAATGGGGGAATTCTGTTAGTCTGTCCCAGTTCAACCAAAGGGACCTCTGTCCCTTTTGTTGGCCATCCGGCCCATGAGTCGCAATGCACACACAAGCTCAGGCATAAAACATACATATATGTGGCCACAGTTCTTACACACTTACACATTCATATAGGTAGGACATTCCAACAGAAAGGCAAACAAAAATATTTTACAACATAAGACAAGACAACAAAACAGCTCTCCTGGTGCCGCAGACAAAACCCCCTTGGGTCACGGTCTGCACTGTGTTAGCAAACGAATGATGAGCAGAAACAACAAATTACATTGACGAACAAGACAGTCAGACAAAAAGGAAGAACAAGGGCCCTTACAGAATTCTGAGGACAGATGGTCCAGGCAGACCGGGCATCCAGAGAGGGAGCCTCAATTATGCCAAAGATGGTACAGATGAGACAGGGACAAATCTACAGAGTCTCCCGATCCCCAGAGTTTTCAGATACACAGACAGGCCCCTCGTGGGTCCCTGGCAAAGTGGACTCAGACTTGAGACCCCTGCCCAGACAAGGAGAGGGGATGTCTCCCGACTCCTCTGGGTTTCCTTTTACAGCACATCCGCCAAAGTGGAACCTCTCAGATACAGCTCAGACAGCTGCTGGCAGCAATCAGAAAACAGAAACAGAAAACAGAAACAACAAACAGACAAGACAAGACAGACAGACAGACAGACTCACCCGATCAGCCGTTGTAAACCTTTGGGTTGCGGGGTCTCTGGGGTCCCCCAAAATCCTAGACGAGCCGCCAAATGTTGTGCCCTGGGTGCGAGACCCCCGAAGAGAACACCAGAGACATGAACTCACCGAAATGCAAAAGCAAGGTTTATTGAAGCAGGTCAAGCCATTCGGCAGGGACATCGACAAGCCATCCAATATAGCAGAGGCTGGAGGAGGTGCCCGCCCCTCTGCAAGCTCAGTTTTTAAAGGAAAAAAACCACAAGGCTACATCAGTTAGGGGTGCTAGTACGGGTACAATTCTGATTGTCTCAAGTTTTAGGGGCTTTCCAGAATTTCTGTGTTATCTTACTTTGTAGTTTTGACTGGTTGTTTGTTAAACTTTATAGACTATCTCTGGCATTGGGGCATTCTGTGGTTAATCAATTGCTACCAGATAGTCCTTCAAACATCCAGACTTTGTACTTTTGACCATCTCCGGCATTGGGGCATTCTATGGTTAATTAGTTGCTACCAGATGGCTCTTCAAACATCCTGACTTTGTCAGGGACATATGTCAGCAGCTGTAAGAATTTTCAAACTCAGGCCTGTTTCAAGCTGGGGTGAGGGGCTTGCTTGAAATGGGGGTGCTTTGGTTCTTCAGTGAACTTTTTTTTGAGACAGGGTTTCTCTGTGTAGTTTTGGTGCCTGTCCTGGATCTCGCTCTGTAGCCCAGGCTGGCCTTGAACTCACAGCGATCCGCCTGGCTCTGCCTCCCGAGTGCTGAGGTTAAAGGCATGCACCATCCACCGCCTGGCTGTTATGGACTTTTCTGGTTTTGGTGGTGGGCAAGTGCATAAAATAATTCAATAATGAAGCTGATAAAAGTGTAAAATTTCATGTGGAGTGCTACAGCTTTTATTCTGAATGTCTATTCTAACTATAGTGAGTTGTCTAGCCTTTGAGTCTGTTTAATTTAAATGTGTGATGTTTTTATTTATTTGCAAGTTGTTATCACTTTTCAGCCTTTTGCCTAAGATCAAGTGTAGTTGCAAGTTGTTGTAATAAAATTTTTAATAATTTATCTGGTTTTTTGGTTTTTTGAGGCAGGGTTTCTCTGTGTAGCTTTGTGCCTTTCCTGGAACTCACTCTGTAGACCAGGCTGGCCGAACTCACAGAGATCTGCCTGGCTCTGCCTCCCAAGTGCTGGGATTAAAGGCGTGCACCACCACTGCCCAGCTCTAATTTATCTATTTCTTATTTCATTTTGTGTTTTTGTGTGCGTGTATGTCTGTGTGAAGGTATTGAATCCCCTGAAACTGGAGTTCTAGGCAAATGTGAGCTGCCATGTGGTTGCTGGGAATTGAACCCAGGTCCTCTGGAAGAGCAGCCAGTACTCTTAATTGTAAACCATCTCTCCAGCCCAATAAAGTTTACTTTTTGACAAAGGAGAAAGGGAAAAAAAGGAAAGAAAGAAAATGCCCCACCAACTCACCTCCAAGCTAACACAATGGAAGTACTTTCTCAATTAAGGTTCCTCTCCATAGATGATTCTAGCTTGTATTATGCAGACAAAAATAAATAAAGGAAAACCAAAACTAAACAAACAACCAGTACAAATGCTGTTACCACTTATTTTCCTTATTTGAAAAGTTGTCCAAAATATATTTTTTTTTGTTTGTGTTGGTGCTAGGGATTGAACCTAAAGTCACACATGCTAAATACAGCCTCATCTCCTGAGGTATCCCCCATCTACAAGTTATATTGTTTTATTAATCACTTCCTGAGTTATCAGTTTTTTTAGCAGTTGTATATAAAATTATATTGGTTTTGTTCTGAATTTATTAGTTTAGAACTAATTTATCAGTTCCGAAGTTCCAAGTAACTCAGAACATTTTATATTTGTCATGGCAGTTCCTTTAGAACTAACTTGGATATCCATGGAATTCCAAAGATCTATCAGTCTAGGTGGAATTGTGATAGGGAATACCTTAGGGAAAGAGAAAGAAGAGATAACATGATTTGCATAGAAGTAGGATTGTATGAAATTTCTTGGGCCAGTTCTAGGGCTCCAGAAAGATCTTATTCCTTTTCCCCAGGTTAGAGTTCATCTTCTTCCCTTCCCGTTTTTCCACTACTAGGACGTAGTTCTCACAGACCTGACAATTCCTCCTTTTGTTTTGTTGTTGTTTGAGACAAGATCTCTTATAGCCCAGGCTGGCTTCCTGTAGTAGGACAGGCAAATAGGGTCAAGTAAATTGGCTCAGACCAGTTGCCAAGGCGTGCACATAATGTACTTCCTTATGAGCCAACCTAGAGTCTGCCTGAGGGCCTAGCAACAGGTGTTGTCAGAGTTCCTAGTTGCTGTCAGAGTTCCTGATCATTCCCAGCCAATGAGGGATGACCATGCAGACTGGGTGCTGGGAGGAGGGTATATAAGGCCTTCCCTGTTATTGAATAAATGAGTTCATTATTTGCCTTCACCTGACTCCTGGTGTGTGTGCCGTTGAAGGAATGCCTTCTCACGCCTTCCCCCGAGGGAGCCATTAGGATCCGACAACAGCTTCCAACCAGCTATGTAATTGGAGATGACCTGGAACTCCTGATTCTCCTGCCTCCACCTCTCAAGTTCTGGGAGTACATCTTTTTCCATTATTTTTTTTTCTTTTAAAATAGGAGAAACCAAGAACACAGCCCCCCACTACCACAAATTATGCAGATGAGTTTCCTGAATTTGTGGAAATCACAGAGGTCAGCACATCCAGAGTGCAAGGGATAGGCCTCAACCTGGGAAAACCACCTTCTTTTTTTTTTTTCCAGACAACGGTTTCTCTGTGTAGTTTCGGTGCCTGTCCTGGATCTCACTCTGTAGACCATGCTGCCCTTGAACTCACAGAGATCCACCTGCCTCTGCCTCCCGAGTGCTGGGATTACAGGCATGCACCACCACCGCCCGGAAAACCACCTTCTTGATCATGGTATTTCCCCTGCCAGGTAAGTATGCTGTATTGGTTTGAAAGAAAATGACACTCAAATGGCACTATTAGGAGGTGTGGCCTTGTTGGAGGAAGTGTGTTACTGTGGGGATGGGCTTTGAGGTCTCTTTTGTTCAAGCTTCCCTCAGTGTGACAGACAGTTGACTTTCTGTTGCCTGCAAGATGTAGCACTCTCAGCTCCAGCACCACGTCTGCCTGCATGCCGCCATGCTCCCCATCATGATGATAGTGGACTGAACTTCTGAAACTGTAAGTGAGCCACCTCAATTAAATGTTTTCTTTATAAAAGCTGTGTGGTCATGGTGTCTCTTCACAGCAATAAAAACCCAAACTAAGACAAAAGTTGGTACCAGGAACTGGGGTATTGCTGTGATAGACCTGACCATGATATTGTTTGGAGGAATATGTACTTTGATACTTTGGATTAAGAAAGCAGTGGGATGTTTTAAGCACTGCTTAATGGGCCATACTAGTGGGAATATGGAAGACAGTGGTGCTGAATGTGATTTGATGAACTGTCTAGGGCTGGATCAAGAGGTTTCAGAGGAGAATTTCAGTATGTTGCCTAGAATTCGTTCTTGTGATATTTTGGTGAAGAAAGTGGCTGCTTTTTGCCCTTGTCCAAAGAGTCTGCCTGAGGCTAAAGTGAAGAGTTTTAGATTAATTCCATTGGCAGAAGAAATCTCAAAATAGCTTAGTATAGGCTCTGTCATGTGGATATTAGTGGTAACTCTAATGAAGATACATAATGAAAAGGAACAAGCTGAGCAAGGAAAAATATTTGAGAAGAAAAAGGGCACACCAGAAATTGGAATGGAACTAAGTCTTATGTTCAGGGAGATAAATGGATTAAGAAATGGGATAAAGGGAGTGATGACCTCTGAGCAAGATCCCACCTGGCTAATTTTCCAATTTTAACTGAAGAAAAGCTTAGAGCCAGGTGTGGTGGAGCATACTTTTAATCTCAGCACTGGGAAAGCAGAGGCTGGTGGATCTCTGAGTTTGAGGCCAGCCTGGTCTACAGAGCAAGTTTTAGGACAGCCAAGCTTAGGCAGTGAAAGACAGAAATCTGGCAAAGATGTAATTGAACAAGGGGGCCATGTTCCAGCACCAGTAAGCAGCAGAACTTGGCAGCTTCAACCACAATACTACCACTAATATCCATGTGACAGGTTCTGGCTTTAGAGTTAAAGATAAAAGAAAGAAGTTATGTAATAAATCTGCTGAGCCCAGGCATGTGTTGGGGGTGTCCCTGAATGGAGGCCTAGTATAGAGGTCATTGCATGAAGCTGTGAAGTTGAAGCCTGAATTGCCCTGGAGACCCCAAGATGTTGGAGATGCCAGAGTCGTGGGATACCTGCCAAGCAAAGCTGCTAACAGGGAGTGGAACCAGCCCAAGACAGAGAAGTGAGTTGCAGTCAACAAAGCTGAAAGGAGTTGGAGATCTGAAGAGTGTTTTGACATCAGACATGGAGATTTAGAGTTTGGAATTTGCCCAGCTGGTTTTCCATCTTGCTTTCGTCCACGTAATTCCTCAATGTGCTCCCTTCCCCACTTTCTGGAATAGTAATGTATATCCTGTGTCATTATATGTTGGAAGTATGTAATCTGCTTTATTTTTTTTTATTTTACAATACTATTCAGTTCTACATAACAGCCACAGATTCCCTTGTTCTCCCCCTTCTTGCCCCCTTCCCCTTCCCCCCAGCCCACCCCCCATTCCCACCACCTCCAGATCAAGGCCTCCACCCGAGGATTGAGATCAACCTGATAGACTCAGTCCAGGCAGGTCCAGTCCCCTCCTCCCAGACTGAGCCAAGCATCCCTGCATAAGTCCCAGGTTTCAAACAGCTATCTCATGAGATAGCTGCTTTTTTGATTTTGATTGTATAGGGGATTACAGTTAAGAGATTTCATGAATTTAAGAAAAGACTTTGAACTTTGTTTTCTGGTTTTTGTTTGTTTGTTTGTTTTGTTTTGTTTTTGTGATTTTTTTTTCTTTTGAGACAGGGTTTCTCTGTGTAGCTTTGCGCCTTTTCCTGGAACTCACGTGGTAGCCCAGGCTGGCCTGGAACTCACAGAGATCCGCCTGCCTCTGCCTCCCGAGTGCTGGGATTAAAGGCGTGCGCCACCACCGCCCGGCGACTTTGAACTTTGGACTTTTAAACATTATTAAGACTGTGATAGACTATGGGGACTTTTGTTGTTGTTGTTGTTGTTGTTTGATACAGGGTTTCTCTGTGTAACAGCCCTGGCTATCCTAGAACTCCATCTGTAGATCAAGCTGGCCTCAAACTCACAGAGATCCATGTGCCTCTGCCTCCGAGTGCTGGGATTAAAGGCTTGCACCACCATTGCCTGGCAACTATGGGGTCTTTTGAATTTGGACTAAATGTATTTTGCATTATGATATAGCTATAAGCCTTTGGGAGCCAGGGAGTGGAATGTGGTGGTTTGAAAGAAAATGGCCCCCAAAGGGAGTGGCACTATTAGGAGATGTGGTCTTGTAGGAGAAAGTATGTCACTGTGGGGGCGGGCTTTGAGGTCTCTTTTGCTCAAGCTTCCCTCAGTGTGACAGACAGTTGACTTCCTGTTGCCTGCAAGATATAGCTCCAGCACCACATCTGCCTGCACACCCATGCTCCCCATCATGATGATAATGGACTGAACCTGTGAAACTATAAGCAAGCCACCCCAATAAATGTTTACTTTATAAAATTTGCCATTGTCAGGGCTGGAGAGATGGCTCAGAGGCTAAGAGCACTGGCTGCTCTTCCAGAGGTCCTATAATGAGATCTAGTGCCTTCTTCTGGTGTACAAACAGAACACTATATACATAATAAATAAATCGTAAAAAAATTGCCGTGGTCATGGTTTCTCTTCACAGCAATAAAAACCTAACTAAGGGGACTAAGGGGACTTCCCTGCTCCTGCGGCGCCCAGGCACGCAGAGGCCGCCATGGGCTGTGTGTGCTGGCTCGCCCTGGGCGGCCTCCTGGCCCTGGCCGGGCTGCTCCAGGCCAGGCTGCTGCTCCCGAACCAAGCGGGCTTCGGCGAGTGCGACCGCTTCTTCTACGCGGGGACCCCGCCCGCTGGGCTGGAGACCGAGGCGCACGTGAAGATCTGTCAGTGCTTCGCGGGCGCCAAGCGCTTTGCCACCCTGTACAGCCCAGGGCCACCGCATCCCTGTGTTCTCCGCGTTCCGCGCTGCGCGCCCCGCGCCCCTCAGCACCGAGCAGCGCGGGCTGCTGGAGCCGCAGATTGATGACCCTGACAGCAACCTTGAGGAGGTGATTGAAGAGGCTGACGCTGTCACTTCCGTGAATAATCTGGGAAGCAAGCAAGCCTTGAATGCAGACTACCTTACTCTAACTATGAAATCGGACAGCTGTACCCAATCCTCCTTAGTGGTGACCTCCAGGCACCCACATTCCCACTCACAAATTCAGTTCCAATGACCCAGTCTTTCCGGGAACGATGGCATATGAATCTCAACAGCCTCATGGACCGAGCCTTGATTCCACACTGTGGAGATGGCAAAGACCTGTATATCCTCACAGGCGCTGTTCCCTCAGACCACAGTGTTAAGGGCAAAGTGACTATCCCAGAATTTGTCTGGCTGGCAGCCTGCTGTGACGTTCCTGGAGGAGGCTGGGCCATGGGCTTCACCAAGCACACACAGGGTGGTGACGTCATAGAAGATGTTCTGGTGAGAGACCTTGAGAAGCTGCTTCCTCATAAGCCTCAGCTCTTCCGGGACAACTGTGGAGAGACAGAGCAAGACACCGAGAAGATGAAGAAGATTCTGGAGGTGGTCAACCAAGTCCAAGATGAGGAGCGGTCTCTACAGTCTCAAGAGAGCATGAGCCCCTTTGCCAGCACCCAAAGCCAGCAGTCTGTCCCGCTGTCCCCAGAAGCACCAGACGGAGGAGGCAGCTTTCTGGGCAAAGTCCTTGGTTTCCTTGTGACCCCATTCATCAAACTTTTCCGGTTAATTTATTACATCGTGATAGCAGTCTTAAGGAATGTAGTCCATCTCCTTTGGTTTGTTGCCAAGCAGGTGATAAATGGCATCGAGAGTTGCCTATACCGTCTGGGCGCAGCCACCATCTCATACCTTGTAACCATCGGACAAGAGTTGGTGGGCATTCCCTGGAAAGTGCTCAAGGTCGTGGGCAAAGTCATCAGGGCCTTTCTCTGGATCCTCTGCTGTCTGGTGAAGGCTGTCTGTCGAGCTCTGAGCATCCCTCTCCGAGTCCTGGTGGACGTAGCCACTTTCCCAGTGTACACCGTGGGGGCCATCCCCGTTGTGTGCAAGGACATTGCTGTGGGCCTGGGTGGCGCGCTCTCCCTGCTCTTTGACACTGCTTTTGGCACCACGGGTGGCCTGGTGCAGGTTGTTTTCAGTGTCTTTAAGCCGATTGGCTACAAGGGTCCTTTTGACAATTCTGGGGAGTTGTAGAACTCAGAAACCTAGTAGTGTCCTTTGTGGTGGATTTCATTATTTTCAATAGAGAGCTAGACTGTTCTGTTTTCAAAGCGGGGTCTGTCCTCTGTCAGCTCTTGTGTCATGTTGCCTGGGGTGGGTTGTCTTTTTCTGCAAAGGAGTTTGGCACAATTTAGACCTGATCTAAGAGAAATGTTCAGGGTAGGTTCGGAGTCAGGGTCCACTGTGCACCTACAGTTATACATGCAAGCTTCCATGGGTGCGTTGACTTCAGCACTGTGCTCTGACTCCTAGTGAAACACCTGGACCAACCCTGGCTTGTTATGAAAGGTAAAAATAGGGAAGGAGAGGTTAAAGGTCATGAGAAATGGAGAAAGAATCTTGTGC